GGACTTAGCACATGAAAAGATTTGTTAAAAATATAAGTAGAAAATTAAAAAATATTCAAACCTCTAATATCATAATCAACATAAACATCCCACAAAATGATGATTGCATCCAAAAATGACTTGGTATTTAAAGTTGATCGTAACTTGATTAAGCCCATCTTTGACTCCCATTTTTTAAATTTATTTTTCTAAACTTTATTTTCAACCATACATTTCATAGGTTTCGCAATTTTTATCAATTTTTGAATCATATATTTCATCAATTTTTATCAAAATATATAGCCTCTATTTGGTGGGAATTAAAATTAGATTTTGATAAAAATTGATTAAATATGTGATTGAAAAGTTGTGGAACCCATAAAATATGTTATTGAAATTAATTATCGATTTTGACTTAGATTAAAATTTTAATTTTAATTTGTACTAAACATGGGCTGAAAATATGGTTTTTAACTAATTAAACCAAACAAGGACTAAATTATATCTATAAACAAAATGCAAGGATGGATTCCTCAAAACAATATGAAAATAATAATAATTAAGATTGAATCATGTATATACACTAAATGAGATCCCAAAAAAAAAAAAAAAAACAACAAATTTAACAAAATTACTCTCAAATTCTAAATCAAAATATCTTTCCTCTTACTAATCACCCCATAAAATCGGTCTCCCAATTGCATATTTGGTACATACACACTTTGACAACAAAATTTAACTTCTTTTTCTTCCTTCATGCAGTTCAGTACTGTCCAATTCTACATACCAAATATGTCACGAGTCTAATTGATCACTCTTCGAAAGAATGTCTAGATGAACAATAAAAATCGTAAGGAGTCCACAAATGATTAACATTATGCGGTTTCCTCGAGTCTAACCTTAACCAATAACCATGGCTTGCCCTTAAACATTTACGGTTTCCTTGAGTCTAACCTAAACAAGTCTAAGTCTTGAAAGAATCTCTAGCTCTGGTTATGGAATTCATAGCTATTGTCACATCCAAAATTCATAGGATATGAAGAACGTGTTTGGCTAAACAATTTACTCGAGTTTTCAAAATAAAGTAACGTTATCACTACTAAAATTAAAAACAAGTAAAATTACTTATTCAGCCCTTGTTTGAGCCATAGGTCCACATTCTTCAAATATATATTTTTAATTACACAATCTCCCATTAAATTAATTTTACATATAAACTTTGATTTTTATTTTTGAATATATTTTTAACCACAAACTATCTAAAAAATCGTTTTTTACAAAATCTGAGAAAATAAAGTCCCTTGAAAATAATTCTTAAAATAAATAATATTTATTATGATGACATCAAAAGGACGATATGATGATGCACCTAAGCACGCTTAGCCAAAGGATACAGAATTGACAGTGCTATTTTTCTGGGCCTTTGGTCGGCCCATGACGTTGCCAATACACAAGACATGCAGTGGAGCAGACATACATCGAGGACACATTGACCC